CGCCTTTGGCCGGACAGTCCGAGAGGTTGCCTCCCGGCTGGGCGGATGGCCTGCTGTCTGTCAGATTCCCTGGTTCGAAGGAGGAAACGGACGTTTTATCGGTATTGCCGACGCTATCAATCTCCAAGGCCTTCGCTGGGAGGAAGGAGATGGCAAGTCTGTCAAGATGTTCAACCTTGAACTGCTGAGCAGCGAAGAGCCCCAGCTTGCACAGGAGCTCACGCGCGCAAGAGTTGCCCTCGTTGAACTGCTGAGTGAGCATGATGAAGCCATGGTGGAGAAGTTCTTCGACTGTGAAGAGGACCATTTAGCAGTTCCCGCGAATGACATTCTCGAGAGTCTGCGCAGATGTCTACTGGAGGAGCAGGGAAGGAAAATCATTCCCATCTTCGCCGGTGCTAGCTTTCGAAACATTGGTGTCCAGCCTCTACTCGACGCTGTCACGAATCTACTCCCTAGCCCTCCTGAGACTCCTGAACCAGAGGTCAGCATTGGCGGAGTTAAGGGTGGCCTCCGACACCTGCTTTCAGGAGATCTCCTAGTTGAACAAGGCGAGAAGGCAGCTTCTGTCAAGGGGAAGCACAAAAAGAAGTCAGCCATTCAAGCAGAGTCCCGCCACGCCATCGAAAAGCTCCAAGGCTGCGCCTTAGCCTTCAAGGTCGTCAACGACCCAAAGCGTGGTGTTCTGGTGTACGTCCGCGTCTATTCCGGCTCACTCGACCGAAACAGCGTCCTGTACAACACCAACCTGAATGTGTCAGAGCGGGCACCTCGTCTGTTGAAGATGTATGCGAACGACGCCGTCGAGGTTGACTCCATTCCCGAAGGCCACATCGGAGTCATCGCTGGTCTCAAACACACTCGAACTGGAGACACCCTGGTCACCTACTCCGGCAACAAAGCCACACCCCCTGAACCTCTCAACACCCTCCAACTCCGTCCGATCAACGTCCCACCCCCCGTCTTCTTCGCCAGCGTCGAACCCCACAGCCTAAGCGAAGAGAAGCGACTTCAAGAGTCTCTCGCGATGCTCCTCCGTGAGGATCCCAGCCTCCACGTCACCGTCGACGAAGACTCAGGCCAAACCCTCCTCAGCGGCATGGGCGAACTACACCTCGAAATCGCCCGAGACCGCCTCCTCAACGACCTCAAAGCCAAAGCCTCCATGGGCCGGATCGAAATCGGCTATCGTGAGTGTCCCCTCGGCGCCTCCGGCCCCGTAACCAAGATCTTCGACAAAGAAATCGCCGGCCGCAAAGGCAAAGCCGGCTGCACCGTAACCGTCGAACCCTTCGACCCCGAAGACACCATCACAGAACCCGGCCCATCGGCACTCTCCATTCAAACCACAGATGGCAACCAAATCATCATCCAAGCACCGGGGCTCGAAGTTGAAGTCAACAAAAAGGGCATCGAGGAGAGCCCCCTCCTGTCCCCAGGCCTAGATGTCCACGCCCTCCGCACAGCCCTCCAGAACGGTTGTCTCGCGGCTCTCGCCCGCGGTCCTCAATTCACCTTCCCCATGCACGGCACCCGCGTCACCCTCACCTTCGATCCAGCCGAACACCTCTTCGGCAACGAGTCCACCCCCTCCGCCATCTCCGCCGCAGCCCGTCTCGCAACCTCCTCCGCCCTCCGAGACCTTCCCTCCGCAGCGGGCACATCCCTCATGGAACCAGTCATGAACGTGATCATCAGCGTAGATGAAGCCAGTCTCGGCGCCGTCGTCCACGACATCTCTTCATCCCGTGGCGGCCACATCATCTCCCTGGACGAGGAAGTACCCCTCCCAACGACAGATATCGCCTCAAACCCAACAGACGATCTCCTTCCTCCCATTGACCCGAACAAGGTCTACGCCCCCCCTGATCCCTTCCAGTCGTCCACTGTGGGAATTGATCTCCCGACATCAACCAACAGACCCCGAACCATCACGGCCAAGGTACCCCTCAAGGAAATGGTCGGATATCTCAAACACCTGCGTAGTTTGAGCGCAGGACGCGGCACGTTCGTCATGAGCGTCGATCGGTTCGAGAAGATGAGTGCGCCGAGACAGAAGGCTGTGCTTGCCGAGCTGAGAGGTGACTTTTTCTAAGTGGTTCTTTAACTTGTGTGGCATTGCACAGTACTGTTACTCTACTCTGGATTGCAGTAACGGGAGTTATTTATGTAAGAACAAAATATAATGGGATAACTGTATAGTAGTATATCATTTGCAATGAGACGTCCGAGCGTCATGGAATGGGTGGTGAATCCAGCCCTGCTGAACAAGACTCCTTGCTGGTGTCTATACAATCTAAGCACGATCTAAATGAGGCATAGTAATAACCAAACCTCGTCACACAAGAATATAAATCAGCTCACCTACAACGATCCCCAAATGAACGGCAAGCAAACATTGTCGTCACGTCTAAAACACGCAAAAAGAGCACGGGCCCGAGCGATCCAACAGAAAAAGATATATATAACCATTTCCCGGAAACCGATGAAGAAAGGCGACAAAACACTAAATGCACTACGCTTCAGTTAAGTATTCTACAACTCCCAAAATAAAATCACCAATCATTGTCCCACTCATCCTTTTCCTTCGTGGTCGTTGACGATGCATTGCCTGTCGCGGCGCTGGAGGTCGGGCCAGGTTTCATGGCTGCAGTTCCGATGGCGCTGGACCGGGACGCATTTCTGCGGTGGTTGTCCTCTTGCGCGAGACTGGAAAAGTCGTCCCAGAAATCTTTGCGTTCGGGTTCGGCGCGACGACGACCGGCGTTGTTCTCGTCTGGGCCTTCTACGAATCGCTGGAATTGACCTGCCGCGCCGCGGGCGCCGACTTGGACGGTTTGACCAAGCTGGGTGGCATGTTGGCGGGCTTGGGCTGCGAAGTCGGATTCCGCTATCTGAGAAGATTTATGTTAGTGTGGAGCACTGGAGAAGGGGAGGATATTAAGAGAATAAGAACATACCGACTTAGCGGTAGGCTGAATATACGAGTCGTTCACAGTCTTCGCACCCTTTCCAACGGTAGACGTAAACCAACCGAACCCTTTGGTCAAGGCGGCCATGGGATCTTTCTGAAAATCGTCGAAACCGGGAATATTTCCTCCGGCGGTATTTCTCGACGGTCCCGATGAAGCTGGCAGACCACCACCAAATCCAGTGAACTTCCCACCCTGCGATGGTGGAACGGAGTCCGGTCGTGCGGCATTCTCCAAGCCCATTTTCGCAAAATATGCCTCGTTACGCTCTTTCCGTCCCCCGTCCATACCTCCAAATCCATCATGCGACGCAGGAGAGGCCCGACCCAGCGGTGTGCTTGATCGCGAAGAGGCGGGTTCAACGGCCGGTTTCTTCTTCGGTTGGGGTGGTTTCTGTCCCGGGACGTATTCTCGCCCCTCGACTTTGGCGGAGAGTCTCTCTTTCCATTCCTCGCCTACTTCGCCCTCATAGCGCTCTTTGATGGTTGAGTCTTCGAATGTACGGCCTTCGGACTGAGTGACGATGTGGTCATCGAAGAATGTCTTCCATGGTTCATTACCACCAAGCTCCATACGTTGGATCTCGGCGATCTTGAAGGCGTCCATGGTGATGGATCGGACGAAAGAGATGTGGACACCCAGGCCGCGGTGGGTGCCCGCGCAATTGAGACAGATGAATATTCCGAATTTAGGGGATGCCTGATAGACGCAAGGAAAAAAGGCCGAGACAGATTAGTGAAGGGTATGACAAGAGGTGGCTGTTGGAGGAGTAGGTGCAGGCATAGACGGAAATGTGTTGTAGGAGACGAACCCATTGTGGCGATGGCGCGCCGCAGTCGCAGCATTTATCGTTTCCGTTGGTTTTGGAGATTTGGAGGAGCTGGACACATTATCGCACAGATTAGACAGATCTAGGTTCATGACCCTGGCCGTGTCCTGGGTAATGATGGAGATGGCATACCTTCGCCTTCGTCTCCGGATCTACCTCCCACATTTTCGACATGATGAATAATGAGATATGCTGATCGAGTCAAGCGGGAAAATACGAGATATAATGAGGAAGGATAATTGATCTCAACCCTCCGTGCCTAAGGGGATGTTGTGGTGGCGCGAGGGTGAGGCAGTGTGGAGGTGGAATCGGCTGGAGCGCCGCCCCTCTCTGCCGTTAGTATTTATGCCGGTCTGTCTGTCTCCGCACCGAAGTCCAGAGAAGTATGCGAGATCCCAGTCGGTTCGATAGTCCTGTCTTTGTCGCCCTCCTCTCTGTAAGGTAAGGTTAAAGCACGGAGAAAAGCCCCAAGGTGCCGCAAGTTCAAGTGTCAAGGTGGTGGTGATGAGGTGGTTTTGGCAGTTAATTGACACTGCCAAGAGGGAAAATCAGGCTTAATTGGCCTCAATTACGGAGATCACTGCAGAGTTCCACTTTTGCGTGCTGTTCCTATGGCACCTGTGGAGTCCAATGAATGATACTCTTTACTTAAAAGAGAGAACACGAGGGTATCTCAGATATGAACGCTTTCGCTCATCTACAGCGGGACATGTTCTATTATCAGTCATGGGAGGCACCAGGAAACAATCACTACAAGGCCAGCCTTGCGGCTAATCAATCATAAACTAAATGGTTGCTAAGATACAAGATAGCAGAAAGGCAATAGTCGTTAGCAAAAGGTCACGTCTCCGTGAAAACCACACATTACGGTGTCTCTCGTCGCTCCAGTCGCACGAATGCCTCGCGGCAGTTTCGTGCGCAAAAAAACATAGGAAATAATGAATGCCTCATCCTCATGATAAATTCGTCCCCTATGACCGCTTCGAACGGGAATGATATTTTCATAACGTTTGCGTTTTGTAGTTGGCCTCGCTGTCTTTTTTACCTTTTTTTTGGACTTTTGTAAAAACGCTCCTCGACGGCAGAGTATGACGTTATCATGCGTACGAAGGTCCTTTTTCTCTTCCTCCAACAAATCTCGACTATACAAGGGGCATGTCGAGATCTGTGATTCGTTCTGGTTGAGAACGGCTTGTCATTTAAGCAGCGGCCGGAGCAGCGTTCTCCTGTGCCGGAGCTTCGGTTGCCGGCTCAATCTTCTCAGCGTCGGTAGCGGGCACGGCAACAGCATCGTCTTCCTTGCCGGGGCTGTCGATGGCGACCTTGACGGCAATCTCACGACCCTCGATCTCCTTGCCATTCATCTCCTTCACGGCCTTCTCCTGGAGCTCCTCAGAGCCAAGAGTGACGAAACCAAAGCCACGGCCCTTACGGCGCTCGTTGCGGGCCTGGAGCTTCTTGATCATAAAGCGGGGAATGGGACGCAGAGCGATCTTAGCGGAAACGGGCGAGTAGGCGGCGAAGATCTCCTTGAGCTGCAGGGCGGATTAGCGACCAAAACTCAAAAAACCAACAAGAATATACACACCTTGTCCTCACTCAGATCATAAGGAAGGTTGGCAACCATGACCTTGGTCTTGGAAGGAATTCCATCCTCAGGGGGGCCGCGCTGCTTCTGGGGGCGGGCACGAGGCTTAGCAGCCTGTTTACCAGACTCAGAGGTAGCAGCAGCTTCAGTCTGGTTGGTAGTCTCAGTCAGAGGAGCGGCCTGAGCTGGGACGTTGGTAGGCTCAGCGGGAGCAGCAGCCTGGCCATTCTGGGGCTGGTTCTGCTATGGAAGAAGTTAGTGTCTCAAGAATCTAACGTTCCTTCTGGGATTAGTGAACATACAGCACGGCCTCCGCGACCGAGGCGACCTCCACGACCGCGGCCGCGGCCGCGGCCACGGCCACGACCTCCGGTCCTCCTGCGGCCCTCATTGCCACTGGCACCCTCACCGCCACTTACAGCACCCTCGGCCTTGGCCTCGGCAGGCTCGGGCTTGTGGGCCAGCTGAACAGAAACCTTGCGCTGGAGAATCTCCTTTCCAGAGAGTTCACCAATGGCAGAGGTAGCCTCGTGGGCAGTAGCAAGATCCACGAAGGCGTACCCAACAGGGCGGTTGGTACGAGGGTTCACAGGGATGGAGACACTTTCACTGTAACAATTGTGTATTAGCATCTAGCTTATGTCATTGTTGGTAATGCGAAGCACAGCTGGAACGCGCTTCTTCAGTGGTAGACATGCAATCGACTCATGGCAAGCCCTTCACAGAAGAAACTGAGAACACTCCTGTGGTAGTTGGGCACTACGGAAGCGGGATGGATGATGATCTCCTTGGCCTGCAACTAACACCGGCAGGCCAAGAAACCTTATGACCAAACAGAGGAACACCTTGACAAACAGGCGACGGGTAACTCGACATGGATGACTTACACCTTGTAGTTCTTGAAGAACTCCTTGAGCTCCCCCTCAGTGGTCGCATAAGCGAGATTCCCAATGTACAGCCGACGTCCCTCATCAGCACTGGCGGCAGCAGCATCGGTGGACTGCGCCGGAGCGGCAGGAGCAGTGCCGTTGGTAGTAGCCTCAGTGGCGGCGGGGGTGGCAGCGGCCTGGTTGTCGGCGTGGTTTTCGACGGCAGTAGACATCTTGATGGCTGAGATCACAAGGTCGAGAGTTGAAGATACTTGGTTGAGATCGCGAGTAAACCTGACCGGTTGTGTGTTGTCAAGGACTCAGGGTAGCTAAAGGCTGCCTGTACTTGAAACTCCTTGGAATGGATGGGTGGGAGTAACTTGAAGAGGGGGGAGGAGGAAAAGGGTAGCTTGGTGCCCTAGATACGTGTGGTTGACGGGGGAAATCCTTAGTTGAACACGATGGAGATTTGCCTTGAGAGGAAGGATGAAGTCGACGGGGCAGAAAGGAGAAGGAGAGAGAAAAAGGGCAGGCAGCGAGGGTGGCACGCTAAGCCGGGACGGGTAGGTGGTGGCCTCAGGTTGACGATGCCAGTGGTAATCACGACGTGTCATTAGTCACTTCGACACCCAACGGAGCTACGGGATTGGAAGGCGGCGGTCTGGCCAGTCTTCAGGCACCTTTGCCCACTCCGGGCTAGGGTCTCTCTTAGCGCTCACATCTGACATCACCGCCCGTTGTTCAGCAGAGTTTCTGCAACAAAACAAAAAAAGGAAAAACAACACATCTGACTCATTGATCTCATGATGGGCACATGACCTGCAAATCGCCCTACAACGGTTCCCCCTCCGCCGACTTTTCTTAGCCCTAACATAGTACCCCTACACATAATGTAAATTGTCTTATTGTTCCCTTCAACACTTACGGTGGGATAATTCTGACCGCCCAATTCGCACCCTCGAATCTACCCCTCCTTGATGGGGGAGAACATTCCAGATCATACTCCGTACAAAAACACATCGTATCTTCCAGCAACCGGGTTCTCCACTTGCCAACATATATCTGGTCAGATCCCGTCATAGTTTCTCCACGCCCTCTCTCATCAGCCATTTGAGTGGATAAGGGATCTTTCTCTTACTCCATCACATAGTGGAGCACACAACAATCCTGGCATCTTGGGATGTGGTTCAATTCGGTCCAATCGAACTTACTAAACGCACTCTCATGTGAGATCAACCAAAATCTCCTCGCACATCTTGCATATCGGCAACTCAATCGCATGGGAAACTTAAGGCACTAATATTCATAGTATTTGCGAAAGAGTTATCAGTAGTCACTCTTATGAGTCTCAAAAAAATTCAAGTTAAACGCCTGAAGGGGACAATGTAACCCATTCTTCAACCGACATCGGTCGTATGTGCTGCAGATCCAGAGGCCCGCAGCTACGTCAATCCGGACGCTACGGCGCCGTCCCCGCTTATTGACAAACAACAATAAACGAGGGAAATGAAGAAAGAAAAAAACACCAATAAAGACAAAGAAGAATAAGAATAAGAATGATCTAGGGTCATCAATGTCCAAAATGATGAGGCTACACCACATATGATAGATCGTCAAAACCTGAAAGGACCTCTAGGTCAAATGCATTGTATGTTGGTTCGGGCCGTTCAAGTAGCCCCTTGCTCGCCCGCATTTCCTCTCGCAATTTTTGGCGCTCCTTTTCCTGGACCTCTTCTGGTGTCGGGACCGGGACATAGTTGCCATAGTCGTCCTTGTACACCTTCTCACGAACGACCGGCGAGCGGGGAGGGGCCCATCTCACCCTCTTGGCCGGTCGACCCGCTGCTTTCTGTGACTGTGTGCTGAGGCAACTCTTCTTTAGTAGACCCGGTACCTCGCTATCCGGGGGCTCAACTTCATCTTCTGACGACGTTTCTTCAGGAAGTTCTTTATCGAGACTTGCTGACAAGACACTCCCCTCTTCGGAGGGTGTTTCAATTCCCGAAGAGCATGTAAAGCCGGTCCGGGTTGTGAGATCGATAATTGACTTCGTTGTATCAGCATTTCGAAGCTTGCGCTCGTAATGCTCGTTCCAAGCACTGATCATGCCTTGTCCATATTCGGCGATCGAGATCTCATTATCACTATGCCAGATGAAGGATGGATCGGAAAGGGGAGCAACAACCATAGCACTGATCGCTTGCGAAACGTCACCGACCGTGCAGCCATGAGCTTCGGCAAACGCTTGAAAAGGAAAGAGATTCGCAATGGTATTGGCCATATCCGCAAAGAACTCGACGGTATAAGGAGACGGTGTGGCTGGGCCCGTACGGGAGGATTCGGACAGGGCTTCCGTGTCGGCAGAACTATCGTTGGTCTCGCTGGGAGACAGTGGGGAGGACGGAGTGTCAGGGATTTCGTCCTCATCGAGGATCCGGCCTTGATTCGTGTTCAGAATTTTTGCTTTTTTTATGAGCTGGTCGTAGTGCATATCCGACGAAGCAGGTCGCTTTTTAGCCATTTCCTAAGATGTACGCGTTCACAAGAGAGAACGGTATCGCAATATGCAAGGCTGGTCGGTCGATCTCAGTAGTAAGAATCTAACCACGTCAGAATCAAACTTGTTGCAGGGAAGCCAGTGCATCAAATGTTCTTGGGGTCCCTTGAACACTGGCTTCCCATCAGTGATTGTACACTTACCGTTTTATAGGCCCCGTCTATTACCTTGTTGACGCTTGGTAGTCTTGACCTACTGGTCAGGTACTTTGCTTCTGAAGAGATAGTGAGAGCTTTTCTGGGTGAGGATGATAATTGAAGAGGCGGTCATTTAGTGGTGAGGTTAGAATATGAGAGCTAGTTAGGGTTGTGAGATGCGTTGAACAGTAGTGAATGTTCAATTCTGGCGACATTGTTATTGTTCTCTGAACAAAGAGATTGGCCATGTCGATCAATAACAACTCTGTGTAGAATAGTTGAGGTGCCTTTGATTTTCTATCTTATACTCCATTATGACAGCTTTAGGTGGGTGTTGCGTTCTGTCGGGGTGAATGCCTATGGGCCAGGCAGACGGGACGTAGAAGGTAACCATGATACCTCGGGCTTTGGCTGATGACTCGTAGACTACCAAGTCACAACATTCTTTATTGATGTATGATGGTTGGTCCATTGAGATATCCCGTCATTGAGGTCTTTGTGAAGAATAGTGATATTTATTTGCGTTACCTCTTCTGTTGGACAGAAATGGTTCCGAGTCAGTCAGTCTCCACCTTTTTTTTTTATAGACTTGTACGGAGGTCCAGAACTGCCGACGGGGATCTTATCGAATAGAGTACTAGTATTATTATTAGTTGTTGGCCTGAGTTTTGAGCCAACCAAGAGGCCGCACAGAATAAGGTTAGTCAGTCCCACGGCTTGGCGCGCTTACTCAAGCAAATGGCAATAGAGTTCACATGGAACCCCATTCTTCTCCTCCTCTTCCCCTTCGTTTTCCAGTTTTTCTCTCCCGTTAGTATACCTACTGAACTTGCCTCTGCAATCTTCACTCGTTTGGCTGATTTCAATTTTCCCCAGGCTAAGAGAGGGTTCTTCTCGCGATGGATCATATAGAGCCTGTCGACGGCTCTAATGGTTCTTCTGCAGAAGGTCCGAGGCCACCGTCCACGACTCCTCAACCGACGTCATTGCAGCAGCGACAACGTGCGACGTCGCTCCGCTCTCGCCGCCCTACCATCCGCCTTCAACGCCTCCCGTCTTTGGAGAACGCCATCCCCCAAATCCAGCCCGGAGTCTCTCGGGGCACTGCGAATGTTTCAAGTATCAATGTCGCATCGCCGCCTCCCGCCAAAGGCGCAGATGAAGACTCATGGCAGGGAAATCGTCGCCGCAGCAATTCCGAACCCCGGCCCGGGAGGTGGTCTGCACCCAATCCATCCGGCCTTCCCCGTCTCCCACAAGATCAAATGCATCCCTTGATGGAAGAGCCGTCAAATCTAAGTCCGATCAATTTAGCTCCGTCGAGTCGACCGTTTCCCGAAATGCATCCCTCGGGGTCGCCGCCACCCCGGGTGCAAAGGCGCGGAAGTTTGGGTCTTCTGCGTTGGACGAGTGAAGCAGCTATGAACCGGTTCTCGCGGAATCGCGTATCTGCGAGCGGGGCCGCTCCTCCATCAGAGGCTGACACTATGGACAATGAATACCATCCCCACGTGGTGGATGTCTTAGATGTTATTGGTATGCTCTGAACCAGGCATCTATGCCAACATGCCCTAACATTAGCCAGACCCGGAAGTTTCAGCACTATCGACCCTGACAAATGTCCAAAACTCCTTGTTCGTGCCCAATTTGGGTCCGTTAATCAATCGCAACCAGACCTATGCACTTTCACCGCCGAGAGAGTCCTCGGAGTCGACTGGGGAGGAAACGACAGAAACAGAAGAGGGCGAGGAGCCATTTGAGAAACCCCTTGAAGGCCGTCCATCACTAGAACGACCTTTGACAAGCCTGTCGGCAGTCTTGGGGAAACAAGATCCACAATTTGCCGTGCTACCTGAAGGGAGCAATCTCGAGGGCTGGACAGCGAGAGACATAGAAGAATTGAACGATCATGTCAGGCACATGTTACATTCTCGTCGTTCCAAGTTTAAACGGGCAATGAAGGGTTTTGGGAAATATGTTTCTAAACGTATGTACTGACCAGTTGCAGCGCTGGGCCGCTTACTGACCGTTGGCTCTGTAGCACTCGGGTTTCTCATCACCCTATACGCAACCCTCATCACGCTTTTCGGTCTTGCCTGGGTGCTGTTTTTGATTGGTATGACCCTAGCTCCCTTTCATGGCCCGTGGCCTTGGTTATGCGTAGGACTAATTGAATGGCCAGGTTGGATTAACGTCGGTGGGCGGCAACTATACATCATTAACGTGATTGACAACGTTCTTGTCGCCTTGTTCGCCATTATGGGTGATGGGCTAGCACCGTTCCGTGCGATTGACACATACCACATGTGTTTCATTGCTCACTACACATTTCGAACATGGAAAGTCCGTCGAAAGCGTCAATTGCCAGATCTCAAAGATAAAAATGATCTACCCACTCGTCGCGAGATCGATGTCGACGTTGAATTCGGGGATACGCCTAAAGACGAGGAGTATGAGTTTACTGTGTTGAACCGTCTGCAGCAGCAAAAGCTGATCCACCATCAAACGAAATTGTCCAAGTCTCATACCTTCTACAAACCTCACGAAACCCTGACCCACCACGCCTTCCCTCTTCGCATGCTTGTCGCCATTGTTGTCCTGTTAGACTGCCATTCCATGCTTCAAATCGCGCTCGGCGCCTGCACGTGGGGCATCAGTTATCACCACCGTCCTTTCGCCCTAACTACTGTCATTCTTTGTTGTTCAATTACTTGCAATATCACCGGCGGCGTCCTCATCATGATCGGTGATAGAAAAACTCGGAAGAAGGATGTGGTGGAACGACTGTTCCGTGAGCAACTGACTAAAGAAGCAATGAAGAAGGTCAACAAAAAGAAACAGAAACGGCAACAAAAGATTGAAGAACAGGACGAACCGCGATTGTCAGTTTCCTCGCGCCCTAAGCCCTATGACGGAACATAGGAAAGTCCTCGCCTTCTGTGCCATCACAAAAGCCCTTCACGACCGCATGAGCTTTTCTTTCTAAACCGTACACGCATATACAACTATGACTTTGATATTGCTTTGTTATACCTCCCTAGCCTAGTTCATTTCTCCGATGTTTATATATTTATGATCCACGCTTCTTTTATCTTGCTTTTGCTTATCATAATGTCCTAAGATCTAGCTTTGGCATACTCTATACAAATGTAATGCTGTCTTGTACACTGCTGCGTTATGTACTGTACTATACACAAGACTTGAAGTATAACTTTCTGAGAAGTAGTTAATGGTCTAGACTTATTGCTCTTGCTAGATATATCCTGTCCTACTATAATTTATAACTATCATAAGCTACAGAAAAGGCATATAGAATACTCTGTCTATATAATACTGTAACCCTAAATACCCCACCTACACACCTACCTTCAAGAAAATAGCCACTGGAATATTATTTAAAATAAGTCTAGTCGACAGGAACCCTAAACGCTTAGTTCGTTGTTAGAGGAGCATTTGTATACTACGTTAAAGACACAAAAAGCATAGTGGACCGTTTGTACAAGTCTAAAATGGTCCGGAGTGTATTACAAGAGCCTAGATAGACCAAGTGAAACAAAAGGAAATGATATTTTGAGATTGTTGTATGGACATAGAGTAAGCGCACATGTACAAAGAAAACTCTCCCGAGAGCTGGTCAGAATAAATCCAAAGCAAATATAGAAACACAAAGAGAGGTAAGATAATGCTCCGCTCAGCAGTATGCAAATCAACCACTGATTCTTGTCGGAAATGACCTGATAATTGGATGTGGGAGGGGAATGTAATATGGAAACCCAAACACCAAGCACCCGCTGAAATAAAGAGGATAAATCCCATCATTGAAAAAGAAAAAGTAAAGTGAATGACACTGAACTCAACTGTACAAGAGTTCAGGATAAAACTTTATTCTATCGTTGTCCCTTGCCTCTTGGCTGCATCTTCCCAAGCAGACAGGCAACCCACCTTCCTACAACTCCGAATGTACTGTGTCCTCCCCTGCCGTGGCTTGCATTTTCCGGTTCGCCAGAATCTTTTCAAGAGTGTTGAGCTTCTCACGGGTGGTCCGTATAGCGTAGTCCATCTCGCGCACTGACATTTTTTCTTCGTCTAGCTTGTTGATGAAATCGCGCCCGCTCTGTACTTTTCGAGCTCTTTCATGCGCCCGCGTTTCGCCTGACCTGTCGACGGTTGGGAAGACCATGCCGTCCATCCCCACGCGGTCCTCCAACCAACTCCACAGCTCGCTCTCCTCTCTTCTCCACATCTCCTCATAAGCAGCCAGCCGTTGAGGTAATGAATAGCCGGGACATCCAATGTCGTGAGACAATATCGACGGCTGCGAGGGTGTCCGGAAGAAGATCAGGAAGAGCAATATACCAATGACTAGGATAGCCAAGTTTCCGTTCCACAGAGGCTTGAGAACGCCAGCTATAGGTTCCATAACTCCGCGTATTGGTTCAAGAGGTCCCCAAGTTTGCGCCTGTTGCTTGGCCGCATCACTTGCTGCTTTAGCAGCAACAGCAGCAGCTTCCTCGTTAGCAACATCTCCCTTCTTGCGACGTCCTTTCCCTTTGCCTCCGGCCTTGGAGGCGGCGCGAGCACGAGGAGCAACAGCAGCTCTAAGCGCACTGATGAGATCGCTCCCGAATGTCCCCTGACCATCAATAGCACCCTTTTCAATAGGGCCTAAACCACATCAGTGCCTTGGTCTTAAACTCGAGAACATTAGCGAACTTACCTTTCAGCCAGCTTTTTCCGGACCATTCGATGGTGCACGTCATTAAGAAACGCGTCTGGTTGTTCGCAGCCCAGGTGAACAGATACTTTGTCTTGGTGCAGAAAACATTCCCACTTGGTACGTCAGGAGTCTGAGTGCTTAGCGTAACAAGAACTGCCTTCTCCAAGTCTAAGAAATCCAGGGTTTCAGTACTGATACACTTGGTTTGTTTGGGTCCGATGGAGCCATTGAGCGGCTTGATGTACGAGTATTGTCTCGTCCTGCTGTCGTTGGTCAGACCACCGCTTTCAATATCGAACTGGAGCTCGCCGGATTTCTGATTGTCCACAAGGAACTTGGGCATAAAGTTTGTCGATGCCGGTCCAAATACATA